CGGTGCGTTCTACATAGTCTCCCTGAACACAAGACCAAGTTGCGACAACGAGGTCAACCCACTTCGATAAGAGTGATGTTTGCAGCTTTACAGTGCTCTGACTATAGTTTTTAAACTAGTGGGGTAGCTACTTTGGTTAGTTTGGTAGCTTGTTTCCTGCGTGCTTGAGGAGGAAAGTGGGGGCATTATCACTGAACTGGCGCTTATTCTCATCATTGATCTCTAACCCAATATATCACACCATAACTGTTTTATTTTGGGGGTACGACAGTTATGATTCAAATTTCAAATTGTATGTATTTAGATTATTGAGCTGCCTTCTGTTCGCTAGTCTCCATTCTTCCTATCAGCTCTCTAAACCTCGAATCATGTTATTCGTCTTATTTATTTAGACGATTACCCAATCTTACGGTTAATCTTGACTTCCTCATACTCGGAAATGCTTTTATCTTGAGTTATTTCCATTTGTTGTCTTACATTTGACTTATTCTTAGCTAATTAATACGGATCATAGCAACAGAGTCATCACATGAATATACGAGCCGTCTCATTTTCGTGACTGGTTCTTATCTTTTCTCCATACTGAACTTAATTAAAATGGTCTTAATTTGGTTTATCTCCTCATTCCTTTTCATTATATTTATATTAATAACTCTCAATAGATTCCCTAATTGCCCATCTCTCAACATAATTTTATAACTTTCCAAATCGTTATACTTGATATTCTTTCATCTATGCTTCCCACCATCACCAAGGAATCCGTTACAATAAGAAATTCCACAATAGCCTAATCCTAATAGAGTCTATTTTTGTTTAATAAATATATGCAAAATAAATATCTTTTCCTCTTCATTTTTTTTCTTATATCTCTTATGCGATTGCCATAATTTTTTGAGCCTACTCAACCCAGCTGCTTTTATAACCATCTGATTTGACATTATGACTACATTTATTATGATCATCTAGACAATTATTTTATGGTTAAAATGCCCTGAGTATTGAATCTGATGGCTTGGCGCCTTCACTTGATACTGCCTAATTTATTATGCAGCTATTCTTATTCAAGAAAACTTACAACGTTTGATGTGCTGGTTGCTCCACATATCCCTATCCATCCTGGCGTCTCTTTCAATCACATAACATCTGAAATCAAAATCATTTCTCAATTTCTTAGCTAGCCTGTTTAAATTATTTCGCATTCCATAGGATGCTTATTGCGCACTAATTGTTACATGGGCCAATATTTAATCAGTATATAATTTTGTGACGATCGCATTCTAGAGGCATACATTCGATAGCGTACTGAGAAGAGATACTCTATGGGCTGATCATCACTCGATCGGCTATCAGACATCTTAAATGTATGCTCTGCTAGTCTATCAGTTGATGTGCAAATGGTCGACACCATTACTACATTTTTCCTTAGGATATAGTTTCTTTATATCTTCATGCAGTAAGATGTCATTTAAATTACTCTCCTCTTCAATAGTCGTTGGATCTAGCATCATTACTATATTTTGATACAATATAGTCCTCTGGCCGTTCTATTCCAAGCCAACTATTTTGTGGGCAATTATTGTCTTCTTTTTTAAATCCATTTTCGTCAACATATCATATCCTAACTCTGTTTAAGCACAATATTGGTATTAACCAAGGTTCATTTTGCTATTTAGGCTGGGGATTATTCCTAAGTTTTAGGTGTTTTTTTCAGACCTTGGATTGCATTCCGACCATTTTCATATTTGAAGTCTTGCTGAGAGTGATTTTCCGCTCTTAATTAGTCTGCTTCCTGAAAGACGAGTACTCAGCCCTTTACCAATGCTAAAAAGTAGTATGCTGAAGATTGCTACATCCTAAACTATGATACTGCTAACGGCTTTCGATGCAAATCAAGGAAGATCTTCGCGTATTTGACAAAAGCAATGTGCTACTTTCCTCAGATGACTTGTAACGAAGTAAGGATAATGACACATTAATTATTTATTTCTCCTTTTTTGCCCACATTTTTATCCATTTTAGGGTTTCATATGCATATTTTCCTCTAACGTACTTGCTACCTCTACACCAAGTTATTATGGACACTGCGATCTTGGTCCCTTATTTGAGTCGCCTAGTCATTTGATTTACAAATAATGCTCCATCTTTTTAGTATTCGCTTTCTTTCTTCACTTTATTCTACGTCGAATTGGGGATTTGATAATGCTAACAGACTTATCTATATTGATGACTAAAAGGCAGAATCAAGCTTTGTTTTTCGCTTAGCCTTTCATCATTTCCTTAGAGCTATCATGCTAAACTCATTTTTCATTTTGTTACCCTTCTGTTTTATCTTTTTCTCCCACAGGCGTCTGCTATCCAATTGACAAAATCAAAGGAGAATTATCACGCTCGCTATGGGGAATATACCCGTCTTCGACGCAATGATGTCAATGCCCGGGACGTAGAGAAAGCCGAGGCTAAATTGAAAAAGGCTCAAGTGGATTACAAATATTCCGTTGAAAAGTATAACAACTTACGAAACCAATTTGTTTCAAAAATGGATGTGTCTTGTTTAAATTTTCAGGTTTGTTTGTTCAAATATCTGTGGGCTGCTTTCGTTATACACAATTTTGGCTTATTTTTCATAACTTAACAAAAAACACTGAGAGCACCTATCATACTGTTCTATATCATGCTTTCTCACATAAATTTTCCGTTAACTTGAC